AATAACCAATCATTTTTTTTATTTTAGAACTTTTTAAAGTAAATAGTATTGCTCTCTTCGAAATTAACTTGCTAACTTTATTTTCATTTTTTTTTCAGAATTGGCGTAAAGTGGAAACAGAGAAACACAACAGCAGCAGAACTAGCCAATCAAAAGTACTGCAATTTTCTACTTATAAGAAACTAGATTATTGCAAAAGGTACGATGTTAAGTAAGTTACAGGTTTGCACAGCAGTTTTAATTAAAGCTGTATGTATGTATAATTTAGTCTGTAATTATTTGCACAAAATTAAATCACAAAATATTTTCTTCATTTCACAATATTATAATTTCAACTTTAATTCAGTCAAAACAAAGTCATCGTATCTCTATTCATGTTCCAAACCTGGTCTTGCCATAATTATCAATGAATATTCAAATTTGAACCTTATGCTAACAGAATAAAACATATTTTTATATTCCAGAACGACGTTACACGGCGGCTAACATCGCATCTTTTTCGTTCCTTTTTTGAATTTGAAATTCTCAGCCGACATTCCCGCGCTCGATTCCATTGGGCGAGCGGGAATGTCAGAGCAGGATAGCAATATTCAATGAAAAAGCGAGCGGGAACGAGACGGAATGCAATGCGTTCAAGTTTGCAGGCATTCCGTTTTTCCGTGGGAGTTCAAAAATTTTAATTTGATGGGTTAGAGGACAAAACAGTATAGGCTGAAATGGTGTAGTTATATTTTACTAATTTGCTAATTTTCGATCCAATTTCGATGTTTCAGATATTTAAATTCATTGGAAGAATCGAGCAGAGCAACGTAGAGTTAAAAGCAACGTTTGAAGATAGTGTATCAAGTTTCAGAGGGAAACCGTAGTTCTAAAAATAGTTAATCCTGTTTTGAATCAAATAACATTCCTTACAATACGTGAGGAGTCCCGACACCAAAAGGAAATGTATTGACGACTTCCTAATTAACACCAATTGGTATTAAGGTGAAGACCAGTATAAGTTCTGCCACTTATAATAAAAATAATAGATTTATTAAGAAAAAAGAATATTATTTAAAAGAAATACGGTGTATTATTTAAAAGCAAGCGACAATAGCTTAATAGTTAAAAGTGCGGACGTCAGATCACATGGTCCTTGCTTCAAATCAGCTATTCGAACAAGAGAGTATCCAATGGATGGATTCCGTGAAAGAATGACTAAAATTATAATTAACTGACACCTTCGACTCTGTCCGTGTGGATTTAAAAATAAAACTTATTAAGTAGTCTATGTTATGTATTATTTATTCCAATTTTCAGTGAGATCTATGCTGCCCATTTATTCATCAAACATTCGCAGTAAGATAGAATTATTTGGAAGACGAAAACTGTGGCGCCAACCCATCTACGATTTAGGGATAAAGGGATATTTTGTATATCATACAATTTAACACTAGTATAAATTAATAGTTAACTACTGGAGAAGCAAGAAGTCAAGAAATTCTAGAAGAAAGAAGACGGACGTAACTGGGCCTGGTAACTCCACCACCGTTGGCGTGATGTCACACCGCCAACGGGGGCAGAGTTCCTTCTCCTAGTTGCGAGGCTCTACGCATTGCTAGAAGAGATGCAGAAGAATTACCCAAACATGAATTGACATTTGTTGTGTATAGAATCTTTGTAATAACAATGAAGTTAACTGCGATTCTTTAAGCGTAAAATGAATCGCAGTTAACTGAATATTTATAGATTTATTGTGACTATAACTTTAGTACTTTTCAAATATTGATAATTGTATTTGATTAAAATTATTTATTTAATAGTGTTGTATGAAATAAATAAAAGTTCAATTTTATTTCTAACCAATTTCATTTCCTTTCTATACGATTTTTTAATGCAAATCCCGAGTGAATTAATTATTATTTAAATTCCTTACTACCTTTTTCTTATATTATACTTAAACTATAACAATGGCCTTTCCCGATTGTTTAATGATCGGCACTAATTGTTGGTTTCTGCGACTAAAATCTTTGTATAAAAAAACGTCATTCTTCTATTTCATCATCATCATCAGCTCACTATACATCCCCACCGAGGGGCTCGGAGCCTACCCTAAGTTAGGGGTGATAAATATCTTCTTCTATTTAGAAGAAGGTATTTATCTTACACAAAACAATATGCTTTAAAGGCTTTTCTTTGAAATTCTATTTTGGGTTTCAGAAACCAACTATAATCCTATTTATTTTATTAGCAGACTAGCTTTTGCATAAGACTTTGTCCGCGGAATTAAAAAATAGGAACAAATAACTTTCGTTACTCGGTGATAGTGTAGTTTTCCCATAACAAACCAATTTTTATAATCAATCAAGTAGTTTTTGAGATTATTCGTAACTTTTTTTTTAACTTAACTTTTAATCTTTCCTATTTATATATCGATAAAGGATGATGACAGCACTTCGTTATATCAGGCATTTTGTTATCAGGATTTACTTATTTGCACATTTTTCCCTTTTTCAGGTGTTATTCATGAAATTTCCTCATAACTTAAAGCAGTGGTTCCCAAACTTATTTTGTCTACCACCCACTTTGAGAATAAATATTTTTTAGCGCCCCCATATTTAACTATAACTTCAAATTAAATTAATTAATTATTGTGACCTATATATGTATATTAACGGAGAATTCTAAAGGAAACTTTTACTATAACCCGCAACTTGAGACCTGCAGCGCCCACAAGGGGGCGTTATCGCACACTTTGGGAAAGGCTGATTTAGAGGATAAATAAAACAATGCTGGTATTAAATGATGAGAGCGTTTATTAACAATTTCAGTCAAATGTAGACACGATGCGGTTCCTCCATACATTCTGTTAAATAACAAAAAAAGCGGCAATTCTAAAAATACAAAAACCTCGTTTTACATTATAATTTATTTCTAGCGACGATTTAAATATATACATATACCTTATAAACCAAAACTATTGTATTATTTTTCACTTGTCTTCAAAAAGTATTATAAATCTATATACTATGGCGCTAACTCGTTCTGATATCTAATCGTGGGTTTCTAAGACCAAAGTCCCCATGTAAACATTGTTATTTCTGCTTTGTCAAAGGTAATTACATTGGGAATTATATAAACTGATATAAAAACGGCTAACTCACGTATATTTGTCCGGTGGCGGCGGGGGGATGACATGTTTTACAGAGAGTTTTTTTGTCTCAGAAACCAACGGTTAATTATCTAGTTATCTCACTTAAATTAATTAAACAGTACACAAATACGAATATTGACGTATTTTCTTAACGTATGGTTCTCATTTACTTTCTTCACATATTCAGGACATGAAATGTGTTAAAATTATTCATAACTGCCACAATCAAGTTAGCTATTTTAGAGCCCATTATACATTTTACTAAAACTATACTTAGGGTTGTTCTTAGTATCATTTAAGAACTCTGAGTGGCAATAAATATGTTTTGAAACAAAACTAACACATGTAGTGAATATTTCGGCAGTGGGGACGTAACTTTAAACATATTTAAGTGGTCAATAATTGTTTCGTTTACCTAAGTTTACCTTCAACAAGTATAACTAGGTTACTGTAGAGGTGTCTAATGACGTCACATCTTGTCCGGTTTATTTCTATATTAATATATTAAATCTAATCCATGGCAAAATAATATCAGTATTATAAAGAAGAAACCACTGGATAAAAGAGAAACCATTGTAAACCATTGTGTCGTCACAACGGACATACGAGATAAGCGAGAAACTCGGGTCAGAAAAAAAATATCGTGGTCCTTTGAACTCTCGTTTATCCAGGTTTGACTATATTTTTATTTAGATATAGATTTGTTTAGCTTTAGTTAATATTAGCTTTAGAAGTTAGTGTCTTTAATTAAAAAAGTAACCTTTGAAATTATATACAAATTTATTTCTTATTATATTAAAGAAATGTAATTAAATAAGTCTATGTTAAAGTAACATAAAATAATGTTTTAAATCTTTAAACAAAATTATATTAAAAAAAATAATAGTTTCTCGATCATTTGGAATTATTTTAAGAATGAAACTCACTCACTCACTCACTCTACTCACTGTGTAAATATATTCACTGTTGTTATGAAAGAGAAAGAAAGAGATATCTATATAAATTTAAATTTCAATGGAATCCTAAGTTTACGTAGGCTATTCTGATCCGAGTCTTGTTTAACTCAGCTTGATTTTCTATTTTGAGAACTATCGTATTGGAAATAAGGTTGATTTTCTATTACTATAAATACGCGAGGTATTTAATATTTTCGATATCCTAGAATCGAATATATCAAGTTCAAACTTACAATTCAGTGTTAGTTTACATATATTTATTTTAAACTTTCCACAAGAAAGTTACGAGTACATCTCAAAAACGGTCATTTGAAAATTAAATGATTAACGCTCCTACGTACACTAGCATAAGTCATCATTTTGCAATTTACCTACTGTTCTTTTTATTTAATTAACTTAATAAATACTAGTTGTGTAAATTTGAGAGAAATGTAAGAAAAAAAATCTAGATTTTGTTTGTCTATTGTCTGCTTAAGTTTGATGTTTTTTAGTAAAAGTTAAATTTTGTAAAATGTTTGCATTTCAAACGTACTATAGTTTACGTAGGATCATTTCGGTAGATTTCAGTGCAAATAAAGTCAGAATTATATACTAAAAATATGTTGTATATACAATGTTATATACTGAGTTAAATGACCGGCGTTCAGTCTTCAATATAAAATAAAACAAAATATCATCCATCTAGTACTTTCTTAACAAAATATTTTGATGACATAAAATAAATTGGCACCGTCATATTGGAGTTATAGAACAAAGTAAACTAGCTACAGAAATAATAGTCTCGGGAACACATTAAAATATATATTATGTTCTATATGTTATATATTGTATGTACAAGTGACGTGTCGTGACATGTCGTGACGTGTCGTGACATATCGTGACGTCACCGACAGCAACACGCGGCCCAGCACTCAAACACTCTTATCTGAAATTTAATACAATAAAGATATAGAAAGATATAAACGAGTTTGTCCAAATTCACAATCTGTGTACAACATAAACTAAACATAAACTAAAATAGGAATGTGAAGGAACGCCACAGACATCGAAAAAAATATAGATTATCTATAAAACAGATTTAAATATTTTTTAAACAGTACCTAATCATGTTTTTTATCTACTTTTATAACGCATTGTATGTGCAAA